CACGCGCGTGGAGAGAAAGCGACGTTGGACCGGGGCTCGTGGGGGTGTCGGATCGACCACACGCACTGTTCATTCAGTGTCACGTGTGCGACTGTGTGAGGTTGTGACGCGTGGCGGCATCGGACTCCCGCCTGGGTCCGACGGTGGGCGTCGGACCGAAGTCCTGACCAGTTTTGTGCTCTCTGGACCTTACTGGACCGCGTCGCACCCTCCCTGTGTGGAGTTCGACGGTGGCTCCGACGGTCTGGGTCCGACCGTGGTGTTTCAATGCGCAGCTGCTGACCGTTGGTGGCAACGGTCGGCTCGTTTGACTGGGACGTGTGGCAGCACGGGAGTGGCCGCGGCAGGGCATCGGACCCTGCGTCGGACTTATGTGACCCAATGGCTCTATTTCGTGGGGCTTTTATTTAAGCCCCATGGCCGGCTCTAGCTCACTCTCTTGGCCATTTCATTGACATAGCAACCTTATGAGCTTAGCCAAAGCCCTCCCACTCATCCTCATTATAGATTCATCATCTTTGTGAGATTGGGAGTAAATCCAAGTGCATTATTTAAGTGATTACATCTAGAGACACTTGGTGATTGTGTTTCGCTGTGGATTTCGCTTGTTTCTCTTGTTGATTGCCGTCACCTAGACGGCTTGGTACAGCGAGGGTCGTCGAGCGGAGGAAGGTGATTATCTCCGGCTCCGATCATGGTGACTGTGAGGGGTTCTTGACCTTTCTCTGGCGGAGAGCTAAAAGGTACTCTAGTGGATTGCTAGTAGCTTGTGGATCCCCATCTTGTGTTGGTTGTGCGGCACCCGATTGCGGGTTAGGCGTGTGATGCCTATTAGCGCGTGAACCTCCAAGTGGGTGAATCGCTACAACGAGGGCGTAGCTAGCCGGCAAGCAAGTGAACCTCTGGGATAAATCATTGTGTCATCTTGTCCCGAGAATTTTATTGGTTATCTTGTGATTGATTGATTGATCATCGCTTGCCACGGCGGTATAACCCTCCTACCATTCTTGTGTATTTACTTTCTTAGTGTAGCTAAGCTCTTTAGTATAATTAGTTTTGAGAGCTCGCTTGTGTCGTGTCTAGTGGTTAGTGAGGCTCTTTAGTTAGTCTTTGAAAGCTCACTAACTTAGTGGTAGTGACTTAGCCTCTTTGTGTGAATTAGAGATCATAGTGACTAGAATTGTGGATAGGAGGCTTGCATTTTGAGTAGGCTAGCGCAATACTCGCTTCGCTTCATAATTGTCTAACCACCTTGCTTAAGCATTGTTATAGAAATTTTTATAGGCTATTCACCCCCTCTAGCCATTAGGACCTTTCATCCGGTTAGTCCCTGAGTGTGCAGCATAGATCAAACCCACGAGTGTTCCCAAATTGTACCAAAGGTGATCTAGACCTACCGTGGCTGGTGGGCCTGTGTTTGTGTTATGAATTTTCTGCCCAGCTAGTTGCAACCGATTCGAATCGCCGTCTCTCTCGAAAAGTGAGAAACTTGTTCACTGTCCAGCATTCGTAGTAATCTGATGGAATATGATGGTTATGTTGTTCCCCAATAGTTTGATATGGTTACTAATGTGATGCTGAGGTCCTAAATAAATTGTTTGCTATAGGATAGTTGCAAATGTATAAATAAATACCTCTCTTTAACTTGATGCTAGAATAATTAAAATGGAGATTTTAATTAGTAAGCTTTTATGCAAAATGTTGTCAAGCTAGCCTCACTATGAAAAGCCTTGCATACTCCTTGGTATCAATTTATTTTTAGTTTATGACAGGTAAGTCTAGCTGAATATATCCTCGTACTCAGGGTTTATTCCCCTTGTTACAGATGGTGTAACGTACTACGGTTACTGCAAGAACTGTTTCTCTCCAACTGTGGACGAGGAGTGAGGCCACGGGCAAGGCCTTTTTCTAGTAGCTTCTCTACGTGCTTTTGTTGGAAACGATCATGAAGCTAGCATGTATCTGTACCGTGCGTGTGTGATGATTTCAAAACTACGTTGCTTCCGCTACTAAATTCGAACTTGGTGTTGTAATAACTATCTTTGCACTCCGATGCATGTTGAATTACTTGTGAACTTTATGTAACATATGATATGTGAATGTTGAATCATGTACGATCTTGATTTATATGTGGCTAAAATTCAAGATCATTCGTGATACTCAACGGACTACCGGATTTATATTGGCTCAAGTATGAAAGTGTGACTGTCTCGGCAGCTGTTATTGTACCTGTGCTTTTATAAATTGGACGGTTCATTTCTTACACAACGCTGTATTTATGTACAAATTCCATAAAAGATCATGTTTTTTTGGGGCAACGGCTATAAACTTTCACATATTTACACGTTCAGATGGGAACACATTTGTTCAAGCTATGTCAAATTTCTAACTGCTTGTTCCTTGCCCTCCCCTTTAGAAAGAATGATGAACCTTGTTTTTTCCTCATTCTGGACGGAAGAATACTCCGCATCAAAATATTAGGAACGGAATAAAACTATACAGTAGCATGAGAGGAGGCCATGGCGCCATGCCAATTCAGTTTGTGATAGTCAATTGGAGGCATGCATATGCAAAAGGAACAAATCTTGGCTGGGAAAAAAGTTGTACGGCACAGTTTTGTAAATTTGAAAAATGAACTGAAAAGTTGGAAGCAGATCATTAACACAATACGAATAGACAAGAGAAAGAAAAATGGTTTATGTTATTGTGGGGAAAAATCCAAAAACAGAATCCATACTAACAGCAATCACCTTGTGGTGACCATAGGATTGAATAGCACAATGTGGAAGGAAGGAAATGTTAACATATTTTATAAAGGAGGTCGTGCTAGTAAATACCCCAAAAAACTGAGCTACTGAAAGCATACTTTTGAGACATGAAGCAGTAAAGCAAAATGACACATAAAACTCCAGAAACAACAACAGAAGCTTCCCTTCCTATAGCACAAGCGGACTCAGCAAAAGATCATGTTGTGTCAAAATTAGCATATGACTGTTCCGGCTAAAAAAACAAGCTGAAAAGTACGGATTATAAGACAAGTGAACAGGGCCTCTAATACAGCCAAAAATACTATGGATCACATAGACACATATTTTTCTTTGGTCAATCAAAACTCGAGCCAATAGAACTAAACACGACCAATGCTAAAATGTCTTTTATTAAATTGATATCATATTGCATAACCATGCAGTCTGAAAATGCAGCCAGTTAAACATTAGCACAAAACATCAGTACTGAGCATTGCACTCTGAAAAAAGCTTTTCAAGAAAATTGGGCTGAAATTTCTGATAGTGATCAGATTAACATGAAGTAAGATGTTTTCAGAACTTAGAGCAATTACGGATAAATATTACTGCCTGAAGATACTGGAAGCAGAGCATTGAAGATACAAACCATTTAGAAAGCAGGAAACAAAGAGATTCTTTTAAGTGTATCTACTTCAGTTATCGAGGCCAATAAGGCACTCCATGAAATAAATTGATGTACAACTTATGCAACCAGATAATTCACCTCCATATAGCAGTTCTGTTCAACGAACGCAGTGCAAAAAATAAAGGGCAAACCAATTAGATACAAAAGCACAGTATTACATCCAGGATGGCAGGAAGTGATATAATGATCCATTTCTCCCTGCAGCACAGGACGAAATTAAAAAAAAAAACATAAAAAAGAAAATGGCACCATGAGTGGGAGGATTCATTTGTAAGAACAGATAGATACAAAAATATTGTATTGCCACGTTTTTCTCAAAACGAAATCCTTTCCCCTGTGGACCCCCCACAAATGAAACTGAAAAATTATAAGAGATCATGGAAAAGACATATACCAAAAGGTTGGATCTTCAAGCTATCATCCTTCCATGTCAGGTTTATACGTATTTATGCTATTATGAGCAGTGAACGATCAGTGGCACCTAGAACCTTACATGACAACAAAATGGAAGAAGCATCAGTTGCTTATTTTATTGGGAACAAATCAATGGAAGAAGCATCAGTTACTGCTTTTACTGGAACAAATCAAAATCGTTGTACAGAAAAAGGTAAATAAAGCAGATAGGAAACCTGAGAAGAAATCCCTATGCCTGTATCATGGCCCTAAGCATCTCACCATGTAAGGTGGTGAGGTTTGGAGGCCGGTGATGAATCTCAAAGCCATGATGTGGAGGAGCATATAAATATAGAGACGCCACAATAAGATGGTTATTGAAAAGAAATTCCCAAACCGGCCAACCGAAGTTCTAAACCCTGACATGTCTTTTATGTAGAAAATGGCAAGCTTTGCTCAAGCCAAAGGATTAGGACAAGGCGGAGAGATTTCATGAAGATCATGTAGTGCTGGCTTAGCAATTATTCTCCAATGCTTAGGAACGTTTCTGATATCATGGAACTCTGAAGTTCTTTTAGAAGCAGGGTGCTCTGTCTCTTGTTTGAGCTCTCGTTTGTATGCTGGCATTCCCAGCTTGGATGACGATGTAACAAACCTATTGCCTTCTTAAAAGCTGAGGGAACTTTTTTTCTTAAAAAAAAAGATAACATACATACATATGGACATTTTCTGACAATTCCGTTACATTTTTTCTAACATATATATACATATCACTTCTGCTGTCAGCCCAAAGTAGTGGAAACTGTAAAGTACCAACATGGCTAATATATTGCACAATTATGGTTCATGAAGTACATACAGGTGGGGCTCAAACCAAGTAGGTAACTACCACGGAGCACATAAATGTACTCTTTTTTTAGAGGAGCATATAAATATTCTTTTTTTTTTCAGAGGAGCACATAAATATACTTGGTTACATGATAAGCACTATGTTAGCTCCACCACTTCAAAGCAAACAACCTATTTCAACCTTGCTTTCAGATACTCTTTCTGAGAGCAGGCACCAAAAGAATTCGAGAGGAAGCAGGGGCATCTCTGGTGTTCAAGATGCGATTGACCAGAAGTCTTGCTGCTACGAAGATATTACTATTTAAGCTAACAAAAAGCCAACGGCCCTAGATTCGAACCGACTTACTAGATTTACGTGTTGATCGCCTAACACATCCACTTACAGCTGGCTGCTTACCCACATCTCCACCCTTGGCATTTTTAAACTCCTTGTTACTAACACTTTCGTGCATACCTTTGGTTCTTTCATCAACCACTCCTAACGCTGTTTCTGCAGCTGAAGCCTTATTGCCATTGTCATCAGATAATGAAACACGACCACCATTTCTAGCTATATTATCCTTGTAGCTCATGGTGATCCTATCTTTGAAACCTGATGACAGCGACTCAACATCTTCCAATCTGGTCTTAGCAGTATTACGTGTCAATCGATGAGCTATACTCAAGTCCTTGCCCCCCACTGGTACTCTACTCAACTTGATATTTTCTAAATCTGTGTTTCTTAACAATTCATCAGCCTGAGGACGGTTTCTGCTTGATCGCCTGTGTTGGGAGAACTTACAGAGCACAGCAACTTGTTCTTTCTCCTCTACAGAAGGTACAATCGGCTGATGCCTGTGAGTTGCTGGTCGACTGGGCTTCCTCTTGATTTCAAGCTTCTTGCGGGCACAAGTTTCATCAACTACACTGTTGTGAACAACTCTGTTCCTCAGTGACTTGGTAATAGGGGCATCATTTCGAGGAACCTCCAAATCCATAGACACCTCTCCATTTGGGTGCACATCTTCTGCCTTTCTTACCTTTCTTCCAATCACAGTGGGCGATGACACAGTAGCTGCTATTGAATGTGATCTTGTAGTTCTGCCATAAAACTCCACCTTAGCAGGTTTCAGTTCAGCAGGGATGTAGTCTTCTTCCTTCCTCTTACTCTCAACAATAATTGATAATGTTGTGGTAGCCAAAATTTTAACTTCAGCTAACTCCTTAACACCAAGTTCATCCTTATCATCTGCTACTTCCATCTTCTCAACAACAGGGGACAACAGAACAGCAGCTGGGGACGAGCTTGACTTCCTCGTCCTCCTATGAGAAATTCCAGATGGAGCATTCGCAGAAATATCCTCAGCATTCTCCTGGATCTTCCGCTTCTGCTTCCTATAAGTAGTTGCTTCTACTGCCTCCTCTTCTTCCTCAGCCTCAGCAAGATTATTCTGACTTTCAACTCCACTTTCAGCACGCGAATTCACGGCCTTTGTCCCGAACTGTGTCACTGGAGCATCTGCACCCACCTCTCCAAAAGCACCATGATCAACAGAATCGCCAGCAACATCACACTTCTGCTGGCTACCCCTTCCGCCCAGAGTTGCGGTAGGAAGTGTCTTCCTGGCCTTGGGCCTACCCCTTGGCTTCCTCCTCTTTTTTCCAACGACAGTGGGCAATATCACATCAGCTGCTACTGAGCTTAATCTTGTGGTTCTGCAAGATACCACCACCTTCGAAGGCTTCTGCACAGAAGGAACGCAATCTTCCCCCATCCTGCTACTACTACTACTCTCAATAATAACTGGTGATGCTGCAATAGTCAAATCTTGAACTCCAGCAGCATGCTCCTCAGCAGAAAGTTCATCATTACCATCTACCTTCCTAGCCCCTATCTTCTCCTCAGCATCAAGGGGCAATAGAACTGCTGCAGCTGACGATCTTAAACTCCTTGTGATCCTACGAGAAATTCCTGCCCGAGAATTAGCAATAACCTCGGCATTCTCCTGGGCCTTGAGCTTCTGCTTCCTACCAGTAGCTGTTCCTACCACCTCCCCTCCTTCCTCAGCCTCAGCAGGGTTATTCTGACTTTCAACCCCACTGGGAGCATGTAAACACACCACTTTCATCCTGGACTGTGTCAATGGGGCATCTGCACCCACCTCTCTGGTAACACTTTCATGAGCAGAACCACCACCATCATTGCGCTTCCGCCGCCGACCCCTTCCACTCACTACTGCAGAAGGAAGTGCCTTCCTAGCCTTGCGCCTCCCCCCTGTCTTGGCAACAACCAGTGACAAAATCACCTGGGACCTTCGTCTTCGTCCCTTCACCTCTGACGTTTCATCCAATGCAAATCTGACCTTCTTGGAAGCCCCAGAGGTGCCACCGCCAGCATTACCTCGCAGCCGCTTCAGACAACCCTTTCCCACCACCACACCAACCACACTCTCAGCAGCAGCAGCCCCCTGCAACTGCAAAAAACAAGCAACCAAACCCAAAATCAACAGAAAGATAAGAACAAAAAGCACTTTGCTCATTTCATTCTTTGCTCTGGCGGTTTCTATTTTTAGCAAAGTTTTGGTCTGTCTTCAGGGCAGGATTGTCACGTGTGTGAATACTGAATAGAGAAGCAAACTTGACAACTTGGCCACTTCATTATTAGCATGATGGTCATTGCGCATGGTACCAGGAATAGCAGAGCACATGTTGATAAATAAAACGAGAAAGAAAAGGAAAAATGCATGCTTCAGGTTGCTAAGCTAGTACCTGCACCATCTTTTAGTAGTTTTTCTGGTAGACTGGGCTGTGCGTACAAACAAGTTATAATCAACACACCATTACTGATGACTTCATGTAAGGGAAAAAAACAATAAATTGAATCTGGCTTGGGTTTTGTTTGTTTTATGAAAAATAGTACCCTTTTTTATGTTTCATCTATAAAGGTAAGGAAATCTAAAGTTTTCTGCAATCGGCAAGAGCAAGAAAAGCAAGGGTTTTGGGGCGGCCGTACCGAGAGCACGCCCGCGAGCCCGGCGGCGAGGTCGGCTTTGGAGCCGCGGGTGGCGAGGCCGTGCTGCCGGCAGAGCTCCAGCAGGCCCCTCCGCTTCATCGCCGCGAACTCCATCCCCCGGCGGCCGGCGCTGTGCTCACCCGCCGGAGAGGCGCGGGTCCTGGTTTCGCTCGAATCACCGCCGTTCGACCAACGGATTTTGGTGGCGGTGGTGGGAGGGCGGCGAGCTTTTTGGTAATGGAATTATGGAAAACAGCAGGAGGGGCGCAATGGCGTGGATGGACGAGACGGCCGCTGGACGTCTCGCGGCGCCTCGGGACGCGTGCGGTGCGGTGCCTCGGCCCTGGTGCGGTGCAGGCGTGCGCTTTCGTTCTGACCGTGGGTCAGCAGTGCTCGTTGATGTGGCCTTGTGGGGATGCCCAGGAGGCGGCGGCGTGGAGAGAATATTTTTATTATTTTTAATATTTTTTTAAACTATTTTAAAAACTGACACTTTTTTTTAAAACTAACACTTTTGTACGCGTCAACTTACATGGCGCGGCTAAACTACTCTACCGCGCCATGCATGGCGGCTAAACGCCACTGCTCTACCGCGCCATGCATGATCACGGCACGGCGCCACATATCGGTGGCGCGGCGAGGTCGCCGGTAAAGACCCACGGCGCCGTGCGCTCTCTCGAGGTCGCAAGACGACGGCTCGCTCGCTGTTTTCGCCGCTGCACGCCGTGGCGTGCATTGCCGTAAGATTACCTGGCGCCACGCACGGCCGCCGACGCGCCACGCAAGGCCGCCACGCCCGCCATCGCTCACTGCGTAGTAGGCCTCGCCCACCACCGCGCCCTCACTACAAGATCACGGCGCCGCATCCGACGCGCAGACATCTTCCCCGTCGGCGCCCCTCTATCGGCAGAGAGAATAACGCCCCAGTAAAGAGCCCCACGACGCGGCTCGCTGGACCTTTCTCTCTCTCTTGTGTATTTGTTGATTGAATCAAATTATTGTTACTTAGGGTTAATATACAAAATTAGTTTGAATGATTAGTTAGTATAGTAAGTTAGTAAAATAAGTAAAGTTAGTATAGTTAGTTTAGTTAGTATAGGTAGTATAGTAAGTTAGTATAGTTAGTACAGTTAGTGAGTCTAGTTAGTTATTGTATTTAGTATAATTTGTTGTTGTAGTTAGTCTTGTATATGTGTTAATATTAAATTAGTTAGTATAATTATAGTTAGAATAGGCATTAATATTACTATGGACAGTACGTACGACGATTTCGACGACTTGATGAAGTTTCTTGAAATGCTTTTGTAGATGGATTGTTGTGTTAGAGTTTTTTACGGAGTAAGTGTTAGGAGAGAAGATGGTATGTTGAGGATATAGAAGAAGAATTGGAATGGTTTGATGAATCTCCTAGTTTCAATGACCTTTGTGTCCAATTGAATGTAAAGTTTGATGGTGATTTCACACTGAAGGGGATGTTTGATACTGGAAAGACTAGGGCACACTATGCCTTGATGCCCTTGTGCGACCCTGCTCACTGGTCCCGCTACAATTAGGTGCTCCAAGGTTCCAATGTGCCCATGGCTGAGGTGGTGGTCGCACCGATGCACGTGTGCCGTCGCCGTCCATCGCTGCAGTGTTGGAGGCAATGAGCAAGAATTGGGGGTCAAAGGGGAAGCAACCGTAACATGGATTTGGGACGGTTAGTTAGTTGACGACGTTTCATTCAAGTCAAGTAGGTTGTATAAGCAATGACTTTGATGTCGCGAGTTCGCCGGACAGGATCGGTGATGTAGTTAGCGATGATTCTGGACACGCCGGAGATGATGACTAGGGAGGTAGACATGCTATGCCCACACCGGTTGATGTCATGCCAGTACCTGTTCATGGTATGCCATTACCAGTACCAACTGAGGTTTTGCATGCTATGCCGGCTCAGGGTAGACTAATCACAGATTTGCCAGCAGATGATAACCCCTATGATTCATGGGGTAGAATCAGTGAAGCGCAGCAGTATGTTCCACCACCACCTTACACAGTGATAGAGCTTGAGCAACTAAGGTCGATGAACGTACCTTTCAAGGGCGTTCCGAACTATAGGGATGTTAGCATGACAGATATGGCAGTTTGTGACACCGGTCTCCAGATGTGTAGGAAATCATTGTATGACCATGAGAAATGTAACACCCCTGGTGTTAGTCTTGCCTAATTGCACTTGCATTTCATGATCATGAGCATCATTCATCCATTCATGAGCATATATCACTTGAAACATGTGAAACATGATTATGAAACAAGAGTATCATTTCAAGGTACTCCTTTGTGTATTTGTTGATTGAATCGAAATTATTGTTACTTAGGGTTAATATGCAAAATTAGTTTGAATGATTAGTTAGTATAGTAAGTTAGTAAAATAAGTAAAGTTAGTATAGTTAGTTTAGTTAGTATAGGTAGTATAGTAAGTTAGTATAGTTAGTAAAGTTAGTTTAGTTAGTACAATTAGTGAGTCTAGTTAGTTATTGTATTTAGTATAATTTGTTGTTGTAGTTAGTCTTGTATATGTGTTAATATTAAATTAGTTAGTATAATTATAGTTAGAATATGTATTAATATTACTATGGACACTTTAGCAACTCATTTGAGAACGATCTGTTTGGTGTTTCGCAACCTCGCCTGGAGTTGGGGTGCTCGTGGCCAGCCCCCACGATTCCGACGACATTGATGAAGTTTCTTGAAATGCTTTTGTAGATGGATTGTTGTGTTAGAGTTTTTTACGGAGGAAGTGTTAGGAGAGAAGATGGTATGTTGAGGATATGGAAGAAGAATTGGAATGGTTTGATGAGTTCTCCTAGTTTCAAAGACCTTTGTGTTGCTCCAAAATTGAATATAAAGTTTGATGGTGATTTCACCTTTGAAGGGGATGTTTGATCTTTGGGAAGACTAGGGCACACTATGCCTTGATGCCCTTGTAAAGAGCCAATGTTGTTGCATAGCGACCAGTGCCTTTAATCACTGTCCTGCATATGATAAATTTTGTACAATTAGGTGCTCCAAGGTTCCAATGTGCCCATAGTATGAGGTGGTGGTGGTGGAATGGGTCAAATAGGATGGGTTTAAGCAGTGTTGCTTTAAGTGTGATTAAGAAATTAGTAAAGCTTTGGTGATCTTTGGGCCGTCCATAACATATTGGTAGTAGAAGAAATAATAGATGACATGTTGTAGAGGCAATGAGCAAGAATTGGGGGATGTCAAGGGAAGCAAATGTCTCATTCGAGGAGCCCGAGGAGCAGCTAGAGGTAACATGGATTTGGGCCGGTCAGTTGAGAGGCAGAGAGAGCAATGATTTCAGTTTCATTCAAGTCAAGTAGGTTCAGATAAGCAATGACTTTGATGTGAACGTTATAGTTGAACGGGAAGAGGAGGAGCATGAGGAGGAGGTTATAACTAAGGATCGGTGATGTAGTTAGCGTAGTGATTCGGACAATTCGAGATGATGACTAGGGAGGTAGACATGCTATGCCCACATCGATTGATGTCATGTGATGGATTCGACTGTTCATGGTATGCCATTACGAGTATCGGGTGAAGCGAGGTTTTGCATGCTATACCGCCACTCGGCTAGTGGACTAATCATGATTTTGTAGTAGATGATAACCCCTATGATTCATGGGGTAGAATCAAATTTATGTAATGAATAAATCACCAAGTGGTTAGAATCGAATGATATGTTCCACCACCACCTTACACGGTGATAGAGCTTGAGCAACTAAGGTCGATGATAATAATTACTTGATTTTTTAGAAAGGTTCGTTCGAACTATAGGGATAATTAGCCTACTATAAAGCCTTCATAATGGTGTCATTTATTTTGGTTATGTTTTTGTGACACCGATCTCTAGATGTGTAGGAAATCATTGTATGACCATTAGGAGAAAGAAGTCCTAATAGTTGTTGGGATGATATTCAATACAATGTCAAAGATGAAGCTCTTCCTTCGAGGATGTGATGGTGACCGCTAAATGATTACGATCATGCATTTGGGACACGAGTTGGTTTGAAATCCTTATCACCATAGGATATTCCGTAACGTCACTCATTTGGACCAGGAGTTGAGGTACCACATGATATGCAAAAATAGTTGTATGTGGAGGTTAAATGCATGAAAGAGATAGAGTAATGGCAAGTGGAGGATAAGTAAAGTGGTCGAACCCCACACTTGCCTAACAAATAGAGGAAAGAAAAATCATCAGCAGCTCACTTCACGTTAACTTGCTTGTCGTATATTAGAGCTCGTTGATGACAATAACGACATTTCGGTGTCTTTGTTACAATAGTCCATATCTAGATTCGTTAAGTATGATGTAAAGTACGGAAAGGCTTGGCGTGCTAAACAAATTGCCCTGGCGATTCGTTGGGGTAGTTGGGAGGAAGCGTACAACAGGGTGCCCCGTATCTTATGTGCAATGCATTACTACAACCATGGCTTGAAATGGTTTATGGACACTGGAGGGATGTATTTTTGGGATCCGTTGAGGCAAGTCCTCTATCGTGTGTTCTGGTCGTTCACGTAAATGGACCTCTTATGTTCGTACTCCCGGCAATGCAGGCAAGGGTCTAGCGGAGCACGACATTGAGGAGGACGAGGATGAGGACAAGGAGGACTATGATGAGATTGGGATGTCTGAGCTTGGTGATGCACCATTTCCTACACTGTTCAACGAACAGGTACTTGAAACAACCCTTCACCATATACGTCACAATTACTTGAATATTGTAAGTAACGATGCCTATATTGTAATTGTAGGGTCCTAGTTACACTCAGCAGTACCGCCGGGTGTACCATCAGTAAGACCGTACCGACGTTGGGTTCACCCCTAACGTGCTGCCTTCATGTTCGAAGAGGCAACGACGTCCGCGGTACCCATATACTCCTGGGTCGTAGGAGTTCTTTAGGATGATATGATGCACTTGTACTCGGACACCCATACACTGATGGAACATGTAGTATGCCGAGTAATGTCGAACTTATATATTGATGAACTTGTATCGTAGTTATGACTTGCTGAACTTATGCCAAACAGAGGTATTGTCGAACTTGCGATGAACTTGGGACGTGTA